TTTTTTCAGCCCCGCAATGAGGCCTAGAAAAAGCAATCTTTTTTTCAACCTCTATGCATTGTTTTGAGCAGTCAGCAGTCTTTCCTTCGGCCCCGAAATGTCTTGTAGCGAACCCTGGATCTTTTTTCGAACCCCGAGAGATCTTTTTCTGGACCTCCGGTGCTTTTTACCTCTGCCGGAAAGACGCATGCAAGATGAAATAAGAAAAACAAAAGCAAATTAGGAAAGTGAAGACAAGTCAGACAAATGCAAAAAAGAGTGGACACTGGAAGGGAAGAAAGGAGCAAAGAAGGAAAATAAAGTGGAAAACACAGCAAATGGGAACGCAAACAAGATCTTCGCCCCAAACTCCCTTCAAGGGATTTCTCAAGTTCCATCAGGACAAGTCTGCAACAACCATTCTTGAGCCAGCTCCCTGTACACTGCCAAGTTTGCTTGTGCAGTCGAGATGAGACTGTTTATTTTTATTCTTGGAAGCCTCTCACGGTCCTGACATTCGAATTCGAAACATAACCCGTGCTGCTTTCGCCGTGGAGTGTTTTCCAGACAACAGCCTCGTGATAAGTTCTTCGAACTCCGGAATCTGAAATCAAAGGCAACAATCGATAGAGGTTGGCTGAGTGCTAACTTGGAAACCATTCTTCCCCAGTGCAGTCCTTGGTGCAACCAACGCAGCAGAACCTATGCTACCAAACTTTCGTGTGCAGCTGTTACAGGCAAGACACTCTTGTGAGGCAACTGCTTCTTTCAGGCCAAAAAACGAACACATGCACTCAAAAACGCGCCCGATTGGTGTCACTTCCGTCAAGACAGTCCAGCGCTGCGCAGTAAACGAATTCTAGATTGACTCCTCGTGCAAGTGGAAGTGGGAGGGGTTCTGGCTTGCCAACTTGTTTTGAACTTCGTCCGCCCACGCCTCCCCAGCCTGGGCATCACAACCACCGCCATCTCCGATAACCGCCGTGCTGTATGTGAACGCCATACAGTCCAGCCCGGCGCAGCACATGCATCAGCTTCTGTTTCGCTCGCGCATACCACCCTAGCCAAACACTTGCGCACCAATGGACTCATGCGGCATCTCCGTTTCCAGCACACTGCCCGGCGCTTCATTTCCAGCCTCTCGAGGTAGATCTCGTGCATCCACTCGGCCATGAAGAGTCTGCACTCGAAGTGAATGGCCTCGTGCACGCGCTCGATCCCAGCATCGGAGGGCGGCACAGATTGCTCGGTCACTTATTTTCATGTTGGAAGCTCGAACTTCGAAGACTGTGAGTTTCGCGCTGCAAAAAGCAAGACTACCTGCAGTCGAAGAAAAACGCAGCGTGGGTGCCTGCTCATGTCGTCAATCTTGGCCGCACCCAAGACTGCTGCTCTTTCCACATATACACCATGCTCGACAATCTCAGCTTGGAAGAGGAGTGTCAACTTGACAGTTCCACGATTCCGCCCAAACTGCAGTGAAATGCCCAACGGCACAGGTTGGCACTCTCTCTCTACTAAAACCGAGCGAAGGTCAACACGGAAAGGTATAGGTGCAGGGCAGGCGAAAAAAAAAACGAACTTGTGCCAGAATGGCCACAAAACAAGTTTGTGAATTCTGGAAAAAAACATGCACGAAAGAAACGCTTGCAAATTTGGGAAAACAAAGTTTGGGGCTGCATCCAAGGACTCTTCGGCCAAGAGGGGCTTCGAAGGGGGAAAGGGGGACGCTGAAGGGAGGAAGGCTTCGAAGGCTTCGAAGGGTGAGGACGAAGGCTTCGTCCTCACCTTCGAAGTTTTCGAAGCCTTCCTCCCTTCATCCTCCCTTCGAAGTCTCCTCACCCTTCGAAGCCTTCGTTCTTACCTTCGAAGCTTTCGAAGGGAGGACGAAGGGTTTCGAAGGCTTCGAAGGGATGAAGGGGGGCAGGCTTCGAAGGCAGTGACAACTGGAATGCAAGCGAACACGCAAACTGGAGGGGGCTGCGCCCTCAACCCCTCCTGCTCTTGTCAAGGAGCAAACCCCTTCTTCAAACCCAACGAACTCTATCCCCGGCTTCTCTTTTTTCAGGAACATCTTTTTCTCAGCCACATGCCATTCTCAACCTGATTTTTTTTTGTTGGAGTCAAGAAAAAAACTTTGCCCGGGCGTGACTTCTCGGGTGGTTGAACTAATTAATAAAGAAAAGCTTTGCTGCGC